TACAATGCTATTATATAATTGTATTCAAATTTAAGACCATCTATTACAGCAGTGGTTTTCAAACTGTGCTCCGCGGAGCCCTAGGGTTCCCCGAGAGTAGTCTAGGGGCTCCGTGGCTCCCCAAGAATATCTGTATTAATTAAATTTAAATTATTAATATTAATTAAATAATTTATATATATTCGTATTTTACAGAAAATAAAAATAAAAAGCAAATCATTTACAATTAAAATCATTTTTTATGAATTTTTGGTGTCTCATATAGACATTTCTGATTTTTGGGACTCCGTAATTTTTTTTAGGAATATATAAGGGCTCCGCGAACAAAAAAGTTTGAGAACCGYTGCATTACAGTAATCCATTTCACATTTGTAATCTACTTTACAGCAGAGCGACATATATACTTACCCGAATTTTTTTTAACTTCTCAATGATTAKATCTGTGTCAATATAATTTAAAATTTTTTCTCTACAGCCATTATCATAAAATAGGTGGCCATAGCAGCCCTTAAAGATATCAACCCACTGGAAAGTTTTCCTGTTTTCCGATGGACCAATCCGGCCCCGGATGTCTTCAGGAGGTGGCAAAACGGGGCACATCCCCTCCTAGAATTTTAAATTTGTTTCTCTAAGTATTTTCTGTAACGCACCAATTTAGTTAACAATTTAACATAGATTACTTTAAAAATGTTGAAAATAAACTTCATTTATTTTTTAATTTAATTTTACCCCTCTCTCTCGCTAAAAAATTCCTGGTATGCGTAGGTTATACTTGAATCACTTAAGCATCGACATAAGTTACAATTTCAATAAACGAATAAGTTTATAAASACAATTATTTTAAATAGTTTTTATAATTTTAACTTGATTTTTCTTGTATTGTTAAAACTTATATAAATAAATTATTTTATTTTTAGAAATTCAACTGTAAATTATTTTTTCAGAAATATTTGTTACATCAGATGTACATACGATAATGGTAAATAAACATGTACATTTTCATATTGGTATATATAGAGTAGATATTGACGTATAGTTGTACAAATTACCAAAATAATTTTATTTTGAACCAATAATTTTGTACATTGCATTTTGCCCAGTCCGTTGAATACAAAGTAGGATACCTAGTCCATACGCTGGTGAATTATACTTCTTTAATTACGTTTTTATATCATATATTTTAGTTAATTCAATCTTCATCCCATCCCTGTGTGCTAGACGCTAGTAAACCAAATTATAAACAACTAATAACAACAAACGGAGCTGAAACTTTTCATAGTCATTTGAAAATTAATGAAATCGTTTTATATCCAGTGGACAAACGAGTTTTAATTTTAATGAATGTATGCTAACCAGGATCTCTCAAATCGAAAACTTATAGTATTTAAAATTTTATTTCAGGAATGCAAGACTTTAACTACTTATCTTCCAATGATTTTGAAATTACCTTGGAGCTGGGTTGTGACAAATATACAAAAGAAAGCGAACTAGAAAATGAATGGAACAGAAACAAAAATGCACTTATCAATCTGATTTGGCAGGTATGTCAATAAATTAATAATATATACAATATTCGTCTTTCCATATCTAAGGGAAAAATGAAGGATGTGAAGGATTCTGCCTCCATAATCGATGTGTTTCCTTTACGTATATATCCATGTAATATACAGCGAATGATATACAAGCATGCACTACTTTTTAATTTTTATTAAAAATTTATCTAAATTCTTTTTTTTTCTAATTTTTAAAAAGAACTATACTTTTAAATACTACGAATTTACATAATTTAAGGTCCTGCAGTACCCTTGTGGGTTTGTGGCGCTACACACTTCTTTTTAAAAAATGAGAACTAACTCAAGCAGATGATTTTTTTTGAAAATAATGATGTTACTAAATCAATATTTGAGTGGTAAAGTATTATCTAAATTCTAAATTATTACCATAGGCGGAAATCCATAGAAATTTTTTTTTTTTTTTTTGGGGGGGGGCTAAATTAACTAAAAATACTATGTTCAAATAAAATCACATTTCACATGAAACCTGACAAAATTTTGGAGGGACTATTATAATATTTGGGGGGGGGATAATTCCCCAAGCCCCCTCCCCATTCCCGCCTATGGTTATTACATTGAGCAAACTACAAATAATAGTTTCTAAAAATGGTTTTACAAAACTATAAAAACATACATATAAGTATCTAATTGTGTGATCTGTGATGACAAAATCATAATCAATATTTTCACATTAATACCTTTTGTATACCTACTTATCGTTTAATCACCACCAATTTCTATTGTCTCTATGATATTTTAATTTTTAATTAGCTTATGTAATCACTATCTGTAATTGTTGAACTGTAATAGTTACTAACTAACGGTTCTAAAAATAAAAAATATAAAATAAATATCGTCTTTATGTATGTAAACAAATTTCAAAAAATCTAAATTCGAATGTATTATTAAAGGAAAAATGGCAATAAGTATGCTTGGTGAATCGATGCGTATAAATGTACGTTTGTGTTATTTCAAATTCAAATTTATGAATTTCCGTAAAGTATCGTATTTCCAATTAAATTCTTAACGACAGATTTATTATATTATAATATTTTCTTAGTTTAAATTGTTTTTGTTCATCAATTTATTATATATTAGTATTTTAAATTTATGTTATTTGAAATGTTTCAGTCACACATAGGAATTAAAGGAATAATTGAAGACGCAGTTACGTCAAAACCATTAGCAAATGCATTCATAAAAGTGGTAAATGTTACTGACGGCCAACTGTCACCAATCTTGCACGATGTAACTTCCGGTAAATTATACATACATTTTATTTACCTATATAATAATATTGTGCATAATAGTGTGATAGCCATATCGTACGAAATTTTTGTGTAACAAATTTGGTTTACTGTTTTTTGGAAAATTCTAGTTCAAGACGGAGATTATTACAGATTGCTCACAGATGGGGATTATCACGTCACAGCTTCCATGGATGGATACTTATCTTCGACTAAATTGGTTACTGTCAAAAATAAACACCATAACGAAGCGAAAATAATTAACTTTGCGTTGCAACCGGTTAGTTTCAAAAACCACCTGTTTAAATTTAACACTAAGTTTTTGAATAAATTATATAGAATTTTTAAATTTACTCCAGTTAATTGCTTTAATTGGATATTTAAATGTTTTGTTTAYAAATTTTGATTTCAGATAATTTTACCCAGTAATAATAATAAAAAAAGAAAGCGTTCTGCATATTCGAATTCAATCACTGATGATAAACTACATATGTTTTAGTACGAATCAATCTTCTTTCAACATTAATGCCTATACATCCTAATTTGGCACAATATACATATATTATAATTTATCAATAAATAGCAATGAAGAGTCTATATATTATTATGTCAATACTAGAACAATTTTATTACGTTTGTCTTTAGAACAGAATAGATGTATAGTCGAACAGACTATAGAAGTATAATATAACTAATAACTATTTAATTTAATTTAGTTTCAATTACAGAGTTTAACTAATCCCTGGAATTTATACTTCATTTGTTGAGTTTTTCTTTTGTTATTTAAATGTAAAACGTTTGTGAAAAATATTATGGGATCATAAATAATTTAAAGTATGAACAGTTTAAAATACAATAATATATTATTCTTATCTAATCTTAGATTTCTGTGTATAATTATTATAAATTATTATTTTTATTCATCTAATGAGGTTGGTTTGAAATATTAAATACATAGATATAATAAAAAATTTAAATTAAATGGAACAGTGCACATTGTTGCTTATATAATATACAGTAATTGTATATTACTGTATTTACTGTCAGTAAAAGTATATGTCCTGAGTACAAGTCTGTATACTTGTGAACTTAATATTATATATTTTATTAAAACAWCATATACCTATAGTACACCCAGTACTCTATTAGGTATACTGTTTTTGTATGGGGATTTATGACAAGCGGAGTAGTGGACAAACATTTTGCGGGGTAACCCCGCACCACWCCACTCCACCAATCTAAACTTTAAATACTTATAACTCATAAACTATTTGTCCAAAATTCGATTTTTACGTATCAAAATACTTAGAAAAATATTCTRATTTGGAATATGAAATTAAAACTTTAGGTTGTCATTCAAAAAAGTWAAAAAATTAAAAAATTATAAGGATAAAAAATATTAAAAACATAATTTTTTAATAAAAACGTTGTTTTTTAACAACATGAAACTTTGTAAAAAAATATTTTCAAAAACATCGATACTTTATTTATATTATTACTTAATGAGTTGTTCATGATAAAAAAATCATCCTGTATACTATATTGACATTTATATTTGTCTGCCATCATTTTTTAAAGCAGTTAAGTGCTATTATTTTCAACTTTAGGAGGATTGGTTTCTGCTAGCACATTTGAGCTGACTATAGTACTTTTGACCCCAGGGTACTGAATTCTTCTTCAGTACTTTTCAAAATAACTGGAAAAAAAGCTTTGCCACCTACCTATACCTTCTTTAAAATTTCAATCCTTATACCTTTACAAATTTTACATTTCATAAATGTTTATTGTTTAACATCTTAAAATAATTTATTTTTCATGATTTTGAAGAATTTTGTAAAAATGCATGAAAAAAAAATTGACCCTTTGTATTCTTAATATTTTTGAACTGCTGCTGTAATAAATTCTGAAGAACATTGTACGACATTTTCAAGTTTTTCATTGACAATAATAAAAATAATAATTTCTTATATAGCACAAAAAGGGTTAACATTTTATCATATATGGAATATATAGGGATATAAATATTTGAAGACGATTTAAATTTTAATGTCTCTACAATTATTTAATTTTGAAAGACAAGAAAAAAAATGTTTTTATCGAAAAYCGGATTTGCGTAAAAATCTTTTTTTTTTTCATATTACCTATGATTTTATAAACATCATTGTATATGAAATATTGAGTGAATATCGTGTTGTATTTTGTCAATATTTATGCAAATTTAATTTGACTT